AACGGCTTCCGACGGCGTCAGACAGGCCAGGAGCCCACCAAGATGGCCGAAGTTGGCTCGAAGCTGGCCCACGACGGCCTAAGAGGCCTCCAAGAGGGTCTCAAGGAATGACAGAAAATGCCAAAAACAATGATGTGCCTTAAGTGTTCGAAAGATTTAGGAAGCTTTTAAGACGCCCAAGATGGCCTCCAAGACGGCCATGGAGCATGCCAAGAGGGCCCCAAGTCGGCTCAGAGAGGCTCCCCAAACGGCTTCCGACGGCGTCCGACGGGCCAGGGGCCCACCAAGACGGCCGAAGATGGCCCTAAGCTGGCCCACGACGGCCCAAGAAGCCTCCAAGCGGGCCTCCAGGAAGGCCAGAAAAAGGCCCAAATCATTGATTCCCCCTGAGTTGTTCAAGGATCGTGGCAGGTGCTTTTTTTGTGTCCGTCTTCCGACGGCCCGAGACGGCCCCCAAAGATCGCCCAAGAGGCCCAAGAGGGTCCCCAGAGGCCCCCAAGACGGCCCAAGAGGCCTCCAAGACGCTCAAGATGGCCTTCAAGACAGCCCAAGAGCCGTCCTCCAAGGAGACCCGAAAGGGTCAAAATGGCCTCCAGGCGGCCAAGATGACCTTCAAGATGCCCACGTTTTCCCCGAAGGCTTTCCAAACCGATTCGGGGAACACATGGTCCGATAGCTTGGCAGGTCTGGCTTCAACGTTCGGCCACATAGGCGCTTCCAACAAGGCAGGTGGCGGCGGTGATTCGCCGTAGACGTCTTCGATCCGCCGCCCCCTGTCGATTCATCGCAGGGGTGCCTGGCGTGCCGGACCCTTCGGCTTTGTTTGTTTCCTAAGCATTTTTTGTTCCAAAAGAACTCCCCCTGGGGCTTCGGCCAATCCCGCCGGCCACCTGGAAAGGACTTCAAGGAGCACAATTCCCCAATGTGTAGCTCAAGGTGGCCCAAGATGGCCTCCAAGATGGCCACGTTGGCCCAAGATGGCCTCCAAGATGGTCCAAGATGGCCGCCAGGTCCGCCCAAAATGGTCCAAGATGGCCTCCCATACGGCCCAAGAGAGTCCAAAACGGCCCAAGACGGCCCATGAGGCCCCCCAGAGGCCTCCAAGACGGCCCAAGAGGCCTCCAAGAGGACATCCAGGAGGGCCCGAAGAGACCAAAATCATTGATGTTCCTCAGGTGTTTGAAGGATTTTGGCATTCGCACAGCATAGCTTAGCATACCATAGCATATCAACTAATGGTGCTTTCCTAGGGGCTCCAACTTCTAGGTAGGGTCGCACTGGGGTAATTTCGGCATTCCGACGGCCCGATACGGCCAAAGAGCCCCCAAAGATTGCCCAAAGATCGCCCAAGAGGCCTCCAAGATGGCCCCAGAACGGCCCAAGAGGCCCCCAAGACGGCCCCAAGAGGCCCCCAAGACGGCCCAGGAGCATTCCAAGAGGGCCCCAAGTCGGCTCAGAGAGGCCCCCCAAACGGCTTCCGACGACGTCGGACAGGCTGGGGGCCAACCAAGACGGCCGAAGATGGCTCCAAGATGACCCAAGACGGCCTAAGAGGCCTCCAAGAGGGGCTCCAGGAAGGCCCGAAAAGGCCACAATCATTGATTTCCCATGAGTTGTTCAAGGATTGTGGCATGTGTTTTGTTTCGGCCTTCCGACGGCCCGAGACGGCCCAAGTGCCCCCAAAGATAGCCCAGGAGGTCCAAAACGGCCCCAAGAGGCCCAGACGCCCAAGATGGCCTCCAAGACGGCCCAAGAGCCCTCCAAGACATCCTCCAAGAAGGCACGACAGGGTCAAAATGGCCTCCAGGCGGCCAAGATGACCTTCAAGATGCCCACGTGTTCCCCGAAGGCTTTCCAAAACGATTCGGGGAACACATGGTCCGATAGCTTGGCAGGTCTGGCCTCAACGTTCGGCCACATAGGCGCTTCCAAGAAGGCAGGGGGCGGCAATGATTCGCCGTAGACGTCTTCGATCCGCCGCCCCCTGTCGATTCATCGCAGGGGTGCCGGGTGTGCTGGATCCTCTCGGTTTCGGTTTTGGTTCTTCTTTTTCCACAAGAGCTCTCTCCTGGGGCACTTGCCCAGCCCGCCGGCCACCCGGAAGAGCGCACAAGGCCGCACACGGCTCGGAAACGACCTCAACGTCCACAAGCAAATCCCTGGGTCAATGCCTTTCCCGCTCCAAGATGGCCCTAGATGGCCTTCAAGACGGCTCAGATGGCCCGAGGTGGTTTCAAGTTCACCCCATATGCTCTAAGATGGCCTCCACGAAGGCCCAAGAGGGTCGAGGATGCCTCCAAGTCCGCCCAAGATGCCTCCGAAACGGACTAACAGGGCCCAAGAGGCGCCAAAGAGGCCTCCAGGACGGCCCAAGAGGCCACCAACACGTCCTCCAGGTGGGCCCGAAGAGCCCAAAATAATTGGTGTGTTTTTGAAGGATTCTGGCATTTGCTTCCTTTTGGCCGTTCGACGTCCCGAGACGGCCCAAGAGCCCCCAAAGATCGCACCAAGATCGCCCAAGAGGCCTCCAAGATGGCCCTAGAATTGCCCAAGAGGCCCCCAAGATTGCCCCAAGAGGGCCCAAGACGGCCCAAAACGCCCAAGATGGCCTCCGTGGCAGCCACCGAGCACCCCAAGAGAGCCCCAAAACGGCCCAGAGAGGCCCTCAAGACGGCTTCCGACGGCGTCAGACGGGCCATGAGGCCACCAAGACGGCCCAAGATGTCTCCAAGATGGCCCAAGGCCCAAAAGGCCTCCAAGAGGGCATCCAGGAAGGCCCGACGAGGCCTAAATCATTGATGTTCGTCAGGTTGTTGCAGAATTCTGGCATTGGCTTCTTTTCGGCCTTCCGACGGCCCGAGACGGCCCAAGAGCCCCCAAAGATCGCCCAAAGATCGCCCGAGAGGCCTCACAGATGGCCCCAGAACGGCCCAAGAAGCCCCCAAAGACGGCTCCAAGAGGGACCCAAGACAGCCAAAGAGGCGCCCTAGATTCCTAGATGGCCTCCAAGACTGGCTGGAGCACACCAAGAGGGCCCCAAGTAGGCTCAGAGAGGCCCTCAAGACGGCTTCCGACGTCGCCACACGGGCCAGGAGGCCATCAAGACGGCCGAAGATGGCTCCAAGAAGACCCAAGGCGGCGCAAGGGGTCCCCAAGAGGTCTCCAAGATGCCCCAAGAGGCCGCCAAGAGGGCTTCCAGGAAAGCCCGAAGAGGCGCCAAATCATTGATTTCCGCTAGGTGGTTTTAAAGATTGTGGCATTTGCTTCCTTTCGGCCTTCCGACGGCCCGAGACGGCCCAAGATCCCCCCAAGATCGCCCAAGAGGCCTCCAAGATGGCCCCAGAACGGCCCAAGAAGCCCCAAAGACGGCCCCAAGCCCCGAGACGGCCCGAGAGCCCCCAAAGATCGCTCCAAGATCGACAAAGAGGCATCCAATATGGCCCCAGAACCCCAAAAGCCCCCCAGACGGCCACAAGAGGGCCCCAAGACAGCCCAAGAGCCGTCAAAGGCGCCCTGGATGGCCTCCAAGGCGGGCCTGGAGTACCCCAAGAGGGCCCCAAGTCTTCCCAGAGACGCCCCCAGGACGGCGTCCGACGGCTTCAGACGGGCCAGAGGGTCACCACGACGGACACCCCCGAGAAACCTTCAGAGGCCCCAAAAGGCCCAAGGAGGCCCCCAAGTTGCCTCCAAGAGGCTCCCAGGAACCCCCTCCTCCCTCCTCCTCCTCCTCCTCCTCCTCCTCCTCCTCCTCCTCCTCCTCCTCCTGCTCTTCCTCCTGATCTTCCCCGCCATCCTCCCTCTAGAATTCCCCGAATGGTTTCTACAACGGCCGGGGGAGCACATGGCCCGATAGATTGGCAGAGCTCTTGCCACAACATTCGGCCACATGGGCGACTCCAAAAGGCGGGGGGCGGCGGTGATTCGCCGTAGGCGTCGTCGATATGTCACGATGCAGGGCAGTTGGAGTGAGCACCGTGGTGTGAGAGACGTGGTCCGAGCACTGTCGTGCAAGCTCAGCAGAGCACGGGGCGCCCACGGGGCGCCCACAGGACGGCAGAGGCGGCAACGTAGCGCAAACCCAACAAACCCCCAGTCGCGGGGCGCCCACGAGGCGCCCAAGAAGCGGCACGGGCGTCAACGTGGCGCAAGCCCCACATGCACAACCCCGATTGCTAAATATAGGGCAGCCAAGTAAGAAGCCCATGAAGGTACACACCGTTTGGGGAGAGGGAAAAAGGCAACGGCCAGCACGAGCTATGTACTGACTCCTCCTGGGCTGCATCCTTGCACGTTTTGAGCTGCGCCCAACCGTGGCTTCGAAGAACCCCAAAGCGCGCATAAAAACAGTCTGGAACGAAGACGTCATCTTCTTCGTCGCCCTCCCCGATGGAGGCCGCCAAAACGAGGAGGAAGAACATGGGGTCGGAGGATCGCGCCGCATCGTCGATGCATCGCCGATGCACCAGCGACGGCCGCGATACATCGGCGATGTCGGCGTGGCGAAATCGGGTTTACATCAGGCCGCAACATCGATGCATCCTCGATGCAGCGCGATCCACCGACCCAATCTAAACAGAACTCATGTTTGGGCGGCCTGGACTCCAGGGGCCTTCCTGCAGGGTCAAGTTGTCGTACTGATTCGTTTTCTGAGAATCCCAGGGCCCATGGGGGGGCCTGGGAGAGGCCAAAACTCAAGAGAAGAAGACAACACATAAAGCACACAAACCAAAAAACTGTCTCCCTTAGGAACCGCTTGCTTCATGGCGATTCATCGCCCTCCCTCGGGACGGGCGAGAAGGGGGGATAGCAAAGGGGGGTTGAGAATCAACTCACGTAGCTGATTTTCCCGGCGCCTCCCGCCGCCGGGAGGCGCCCATGTATCGAGGAATGGGCCCCTCGGTGGGGCCGAAACCAGCTGCATGCAGCAGATTTCGTACCCCCCTCTTTCCCTATCCCCCCCTTTCGTTCTGCCCGACTCCCCCCGGAGCTCCGTCTCCCGCCGATCCGCGTCGCGCCGCGGCGCCTCCCGCCGCGGCGAGTCCCGCCGGGGCGCTTCCCGCCGCAGCGAGTCCCGCCGGGGCGCGTCGCGCCGCTCCGCGTCGCCCCGACGCGAGCGGTCGGGCGACCGTCGCCGGGACGAGCTCCTCCCCGCGCCAATGCGTCGTCGTTCTCCTCCTCCTCCTCCTCCTCCTCCTCCTCCTCCTCCTCCTCCTCCTCCTCCTCCAACGCAAAGGCAACATGATGACAAATTCCGGCGGCTCTGCATGATGCGTCGGACACCACAGCAACCCCAGAGCGTTCTGGAACGCTCTGAGATCATTACGGAACGCTCTGGATCGATTTATCCTCATCCTGGGCCTCCTGCTCGTCGAGATGCTCCGCAAAGCAGTGCTTGCACTTAGGGGCTCTTACGTTTGTTACTCAAATAATTGGACGGGTATTCTGGTTCTTCGCCTCGTTGTCGCCTCGTGCCTGGTTATGGGTATCTCGTGGGCGCCCCGTCTGCTTCGGTATCCCGAGATTTCGCGGCGTTGGCGCCCGTGCCCGCTCGTGGGCGCCTAATGGTTATCCCGAACTTTCGCCGCGTTGGCGCCCTTGCCCGCTCGTGGGCGCCGCGCGTGTACGCCGTGCGCCCACAGCAGAGGCTTACATCACAAAGCACAAACCGAATAGCTCACACGACTGATAGCTCAATTTACACCGCATGTTTTATACAAAAGACCTACACCACATGGTTTGCCCTACGCAATTCACACCTCATACGTCATACATCACGTCAAATAGCTTACACAACGTAGATTCAAACTGCATAGTTCGCACCGCATGGCGTTCACCTCCACACTGCAATAACTCTCTGTTTGTCTCACATTTGGGCGTCTCTGTGCCTACGTGGGCCTCCATGGAAGCGCCCTCGCCGCCAGCTCCCCGCGAAAGTCGGGCTGGGACACAGCGGGGGACAGGGTTGGAGGACCATCGTAATTGTCGTGGCCGCCGCTGCGTCACCGCTCCGTCGTCGTACGCCCGTTACGTAGGGGGGAGGGCGAAGAGGGCGAGGGAGAGGTGTTTCCTCTTCCTCCGCCTCCTCCTCTTCCTCCTCCTCCTCGTCCTCCGCCTCGTCCTCCTCCTCCTCCTCCTCCTCCTCCTCCTCCTCCTCCTCCTCCTCCTCCTCCTCGTCGTGTTCACCCTCGTCCTTTGTCCTCCTTATCAACCGCCCCCTCTCCTCCTCCCTCTCCCTTTACGCCTTCCCATCCGCCCTCATCGTCCTCCTCCCCGCGGCGACGATACACCAGAAGTCATCATCCCTCATCACTCATCGTCCTCCTACAGAGGTGTCTGACAGGTCTCCGGAAGCCTCCAAAGACAAAAAAGAACACCTGGCGACGTACCCAGCCCTTGCGCAATGCGGGGCATACGTACATCAGGATTGCTACAACGGGGGCGATGACGTAACATGGACGCATGTGTTTTTGCGAGCAGCAATCGGAAGGCTCGCAGGCCCCCGATCAAGATATAAGGGCGTCGTGGTGGCGACAGTTTCGCAGATCGCATCTGGTAGCCACGCAGCCCTCATAGCCAGAGCCGTCCGTCGCAGCCGTGACCGCTTGCTCTCTGGGTCTGCCTTGCGCTTGCCGCGTTGGGCCGCGGGGGGGCTGCCCGGGGCTTCGAGGGCCCGGCGCCGCCACCGCCGGCGGGCGCCTCTGAGCGTCGTCGCCCAGTGGGCCCACAGCTGGAAAAGGTGCGCGCGCGAAACCTTCGCGGCGATGCCGCAGTCCAGCAGGCGCCCGCGGCCCTCGTCGCAGGCGACCGCGGCGCCGGGGGGGTGAGCTTCGCCGCCAAGGCTGGTCACCCACTGCGCGGGGATGGGCCCCAGTCGCCCGCGACAACCAACGGCGTGCGCGTCTGCGCCAGGAGGGCCCCCGAAGCGACGAGCGCGGCTCTGTCGCGCTCGGCGAATCCCAGCGCGGGGCGCAAGTGCACGGTAGCCGCCGCGACGTCGCCCACCTGTCGCGCGGAGGGCCATTGGGAATAACCCGCGCAGCAAGGCGCCCTTGGGGGCCCCGCCAGCGGTCGAAGGTGGCGGCCTGGAGGTGCGAGCGGACTGCCGCGACCTCGCTGCCAGTGGCGCCGCCCTTGTCCGCGGAGGTGCAAGGGGGGCGCGTCGCCTTCCAGTCCCCAGTGCGGAAGGCCCCGATGATGCCGCTGGGGCGGGCGCCAGACCGATGGAGCTCCACAAACGCCATCTATTCGAAGGCCTTGGCGCGGCCCGACTGGAAGAAAACCCGAACCTGCGGCCCCCGCTCCGCGATGCTGCCGTAGAGGATCTGACAGTACGAGCTGGAGTTAGGACTGCTGCGAGCCTCCACTCCCAGGCGTAGACTGTCATCAGCAGGAGGAGGCGCGCCAGCGTCGCAGGATTGCTTGGGGCCGCGCTGCGCCCGAGCGCCTGGCGCCCTGCGCCCTCGGCCTGCTCGCCAGCTGCGCGGGCGCCCCCCCTGGCCTTGCCGCGCTGGCCCATGCCGTCGCCCACCTCGGCCCTCCTCGCAGCGAGGATGGCCGCCGCGCGCGCCTGCACGAAGCGGTTGGCCGCGACGCGGGCTCCTCGTCGTCGCCGGGGAATTCCTGGCCGAGCGACTGGACGCCGCCGCCCCCCACGCTGTGGACGCGGGCACCTGCGCGATCGCAGGGCGTGGGGCAGGCGGCCCCTCCCGCGGGGCGCGGGAGCGCTGCAGCTTGGCCCCCGAAATCTCCTGGAGAAGGCGGCCCTTGGCTTGGAGGGCGGGAAAAACGGGCTGATGTCGACGGCTTCCGCCCCGTCCAGCCCCTCGTCATAAAGGTGGCCCTCGAGCTTCGCGACGACGCTTTTCAGGACTGGGGCCACCTCCGCCTCCGACCCCCTGGAGCTGCTGCTTGCCGAAGTCGACCAGGAGGACCCTCGCCGCCAAGAGGTCCTTGTCGCGCTTGGCCAGCTGCTCCTGCTGGAAGGCGAGCTTGACCTCCAGCCACTCGATGTCGGCATTTGTGGTGTTGATGTCCTGGTCAGCCGTAGCCACGAGCCCCTCGACGCGCTTGATGTCACGGCTGCAACCCGAGTGGCGCTTGCCGGTGAGCATGTTTCCCATGCCGCATCGCCTTGAGACTGTCGGGTTCGGCCTTCCAGCGCTGCGCGTTCTCCTTCTCCACGTGGCCCATGTGCTCCCCCGCCTGGACGACGGCCGTGAGGCGCGAAGCGGGCGATGACCTCCGCAGCGTCGTCCTGCACAGTGGCCTCTGGGGAGGCTTCCGCCGATGCGGCGCCCACCTCTCCCCCGCGAGGCTCACCCTGAAGGCGGGCCTGCTCGAGTTCCTTGGCGTCTTTGGCCTGCATATCCCGGATCTTCTTCTCCATGGACTGGTACTGCCAGGGCACGAGGTCGCCCTTCGCCTCTCCCTTGCTGGGGCCGCTGCTGCGGGTGGTGGGCCCTTTGCCGATGACGACCGCCTCCGAACGCCACGCCCTTGTGCAACTCGCAGCCGCCGCAGATGAGGCTCCACCCGCTGTTGCGGAACCTCTGGGGTTTACTGGTGCGGCACGATATGCACAGCCACGGTCCGCGCTCGGTCGCAGCACGCGGGTTCGGCGCATGCCCACCTCCTCCACCAGGGACTGCCTTGCGCGCTGGCACCATGATGCGTCCCACACAGGGGTGTGAAACACTGGAAACTGGCCGGAAATTAGCGGTATCCACTATGACTACCCAGGGCGTTGTGTATATTGAGCCAAAGCTGCTACGGAGGAGGAGGAGGAGGAGCATGGCGACGGGGACATGCTAGGCAGGAGTCGGATGAGAGAGCTAGAGCAGCAGGAGGACAGGAGTAGGAGCAAGAGCAAGGAACGGCACCCAGAGCAAGAGTAGGAGCCAAGCTGACCAGATCAAACGAGTCAGCGGTCCCAGCCCACTCCCACCTTCCCTGTCCCAGAAATGTGTATCAATACTGGTTCAATGGAAAGTCGGAATTGGCACCTCGTTCGCAGCCGAACTGAAGCGTGCGCAATCATCGCACAGTGGACGAAGGAGGAGAGGAGGCTAGGAGGAGGAAGGAAGAGGAGAGGAAGAGAAGATGGAGAGTAGAGAGGAGAGCCCGAGGAAAGGAAAAGAAGACGCGAAGAAGAAGAATGGGGAGTGTGACTGCGCCAATCACGCTGAGAAATCAATCAAAGAGGGAGCAACAGGAAGGATATGTCGTCTCGCCACACTTCTGACGAGGGCATGAGCTTGAGGAGAGGCAACGGCGTCATCGCATTCTAGAGTATTCCTCCTCCTCCTCCTCTCCTCCTCTTCTTTTTCCTCCTCCTCCTCCTCCGACGACGACGACGACGACGAAGGTGACGCCACCGACGACGACGACGTCGACAACGACGACGACGACTTGCCCGACGACAGCCGATGACGCGGCCGAGGGCTGCCCCACCACCGAGGCAACGCCAAGGGGGGTCACCGCCAGGGGGCTCGCCACCTCCTCGAGGAAAAGCCGCTTCTCGGGAGCGGCAAAGAGGGGGGTGTCCAAGAGGGGGGGGTGCAAATCATGACCGGCGGCATGTGCGCGGCCCAGCGGGGGGGCCAGGGCCGTAATGAAATAAGAAGAGGCGCCATGAAATAAGAGGAAAAATCATGGCCCGCGCCATGAAATCCACCCCCCCCTAGGGGGGCACCGCCTGAGGCAACGCCCAGGGGGGCCACCGCCAGGGGGCTCGCCACTCCCTCGAGGAAACGCCTGCTGGGCAAAAATTTCACCACCACTACCATACGTAGGACGGGGGAGGAGAAGGGAAGATGGAGAGGTCCTCCTCCTTCTCCTCCTCCTCCTCCTCCTCCTCCTCCTCCTCCTCCCTCTCCTACCTATGGTAGTGGTGGTGGAAAATTGGCCCATCAACGCCGCTTCCTCCAGGAAGCAGGCCCCAGGAGACACCCCGGAACCTCCCCACGAAGCGATCCCAAACACCAGCAGAAACCCCTCGCTCTCCACGGGGAGCTGCCGCCACCCCCCAATGGCGGTGAAACACCTCGTGGCACTGCCCACCACTCCCCCGAGGGGCGCCGGTGTCTCGGAGAGCTCCGCCGCCTCACCGGGCGGGACGCACTGCGCCCCCGGCGCATCTGGGTGACCATGCGCCGCCGGGAGCCGCTGCGGCGCTGGGAGCGGCTGCGCCTGGGCAGGGTCAGTCAGCGTTGAATAGGGCCCTCGGATCAGATCGGAATGCGCACCGGATCCAGGCAAGAAACATCAAAACTCTGACATCCGCCGACGGATTTCCCCTGCGCCTTCCGGGAGGGTGGCGGTACATGAGATCGCTGGCGCTCAGTGGTGACTGATACACAAACACCCTCACCTGCAGCCCACGACCAATCCACTGGGGGGGTGTCTGTGTACATAGTGTTTTCTGGCGAAAGATCAGGCCGCATCGGCACAGATTCCGAAGCCAATCGGATCAGCAGCGCCAGGATGCACGACAGCGCCCTTCAAGCATCGGGCCACATTGCATCGTCGAAACATCGGACTCGAATCGGATCGGTCAGGCCTGGATCGAAATCGAATCGGGTGGATCGAATCGTCGTCATCGTCGTCGACGCCGTCGTCGTCGTCGGCGACGGCGGTGGCGGCGACGGCATCGTCGTCGTCGTCGGCATCGTCGTCGCGGGCCGTCGTCAAAAGATGTCGCCGTCCCTGAGACCCTGGCGTTGCAACTCTTTCGCACCAAGCGATTTCGCCTGGTTTCGGGCCCTGGGAAACTCACGGGTCTGGCTCGAACAATTCAGCGCAAAGATGATAAGTTCCAAGGTTCTGGCCGTGATTTTCACGATGCTGAGCTTTTGGAAGCGTCGTATCTCGAGGTCATCGACGAAGGAGGAAATTACGTTTGATCGGCTGGGTGCTTCCACGACGGCCCTATCGGCACCAATTTGCCTCTTACACGGCTCCAGATCGACGCAAAACGAATCAGGATGGTTTGCAGAGGGCTTCGGGGACATCCGAAACGTACAAAGACGACCCTACTCCGCCCCAACAGAACACAAAGAAAACCGGATATCCCCCAAACGGCCCTTAGAATCTCACGCATGACATCGGCCAGACAACTGAACGAGGCCACAAACCCCCATTGAACTCCCGCGGTGCTGCCTGGGCAACCCGACAGGACCTGAAGAGATTAAGTTTAAGGCGTCGGCGGACGTGACGCACGCCTGTAGAAACATCGGTTTCTGTATGATCGCCATTTCGCGTCCGATGGGCTCCAGAGGCTTCAAGATGGTCATTGGATGGCCCGATGGAGCCCTGGGGATCAAAAGATGGGCCCAAGAGGGCCTCCAGAGCGACCAAGAGACAATGTGTCGGCCGCCGACAAGGGGGACCGTGATCAAACACCTCCCTGTTTGGTCGATGGCCCCTGGGATGCGTCTTCAAGGCCCCAAAGGCCCCCGAGAAGGCCCCAAGACAGCCCAAAAGGCATCGAGAATGGAATGGCCCCACAAGGGCCCCCCCATGGCACAAAGATGCCTTTCAGAGGCGCCCAAAGCGTGACTGCATGCTGCTACACAAATCTGATCAGGGCAACTCGCCGGGTGAGTGTTCTGGATGGGCTGGTGGGGATGTTTTTTTGTTTGTTTTGTGCCGCGGGCGGACGCGGTCACGCAGTCGCCGAAGGGGAGGTCCAGGGCACGGTCCTGCCTAATTGGCTACGCGCGAGCCTCGAGCGAAGCGGCCGGGCCAGCACTCAGAAACAGCTGCCGGCGGGGGTTGCAGCTGGTGGGGAGCTGTCTGAGCAGTCTGCTGAAGGCCAGGGCAGCTGGTGCAACATGCAAGACAGAGGCTGAAAGACGCCAAAGTGGAATTAAGTCCTGCACGCCAGAAGAGCATGATCGGGTCTGTACCTGCAACCACGCATCAAACTAGCGGAGCGCCTCCACCGCCGGGCCAACCCAGTAAGCGGCTCGCTACCAGGAACGAGGAGCTGGAAGCCACGCGCTCGAGCTCAGGTACCATGGACATGAGTGACCAGGTATAGTCTGACCATGTCGCCACAGGGCGCCAAGAGCCAGGGCCACAGCTGTGGCGGGGTACAAGCCGAATAAGCGGGGACAGGGCGCCAGTGAGGAACCACGGTGTCTGCTGGAAGGCTGTACCACTCCGCGACACATCACGCAAAGCCCCGAAGTTGACGCAAGACCCGGGCGGCTGCGGCGAGTATTGTAGACCAGGCCCCAGGGAGAGCGACTGCAACAGGGAGCCTGGCCAGGGGTGTGCGTCGTGAACCCCGCACGTAGGCGACCGCGTATTGCTCCGGAGCTGGTGAAAATTTGTTTTTTTTACAGCCGCATGCGGAAGCGCCAGCGGCGGGCGGTCACAGTCGGGCTGCGGCCGCGAGAACTGGTGGGGATGCGCGAAGCGTCAAGAATTCGAACAAGCCCCCGTCATTTCTGGATGCTGCCAGGCGGCCCAACTGTTATAACGGTCCTGCTCACTGAGGGATCAATACCACGGTTTCCTGCCTACGTGGATCACATCTTCGTGGTCTCTGGTACCACTGACATGCTGTCGGACGGGTTGGGTGCATCCCTTTTTCCAAGTAGCAGAATGCCCGTGCGAAAGAAGGGGTAATGTCAGTCGCAGCCCTCTGAGGACACTGTGCTGTAAGGGTCATTGCTGGACTGATGTATGGCCAATGTCTCTTGTCTCCTCTTCCTCTACCTCTCCCTCTCCGTCTCTCTCTCTCTCTCTTTCTCTCTCTCTCTCTCTCTCTCTCCCTCTTTCTACATGTTACCCTATCGCTCTATCTCTCTCCCCCTCTCGTCCAGTCCCCTGTCTCTAGAAATCATGCCTCACCTTCGCTGTCGAATGGAAGCCAACGGCGCAGAAACGTGACTCATGGACTGGGCGTCCCCATCTTCAACAAGTGGCAGCATCGACGGGTCCATCCAAAACGAATGGGGGCATGAAAAAGTACGCATACCCCTGCCAACGCCACACAGGAAACCGTGATGTCGTACGCTACGCGAGGCCGAATTCAAGAAATATCAAGAGAAAAACGAAGTGGAAAGGACACGCAGCAAGGACGACGACGAAACAGAGGAGCTGGCAGTGTTCAATATTGGACGCCAACGCCAATCGCCAACGCGTCAACGCGCTACGAATCCTCCAATGGAATCCCACCAGCCCTTTGGGCGTGAGTGGTTTAGGGAGCTCTCTCTGTTCTCAACCCCCCTTCTTCCCCTTCGGGGAGGGGTTTACCCCTCCCCCTACCCCCTCCCCCTGGGCCTGGAGAGGTCCTTTCGCGGGTGGTCAGAGGGGTCTTTTTCGACTCCGGGGAGGGCTAAAAAACGACACCCCTCACGAGGATTCTGGCCCCGACGGGGGGAGGGAGAAAAATGCTCCCCTCTTCTTTGAAGCCAAAATCATTGATTTTACTACGGTTTTGGCCCCATTTTGGCCTTCTGAGGGGGCAGCGCTAATTAAAGCTCCCCTCTTCTTTCAAGCCAGAATCATTGATTTTACTAAGGTTTTGGCCCCATGTTGGCCTTCTGAGGGGGCAGCGCTAATTAAAGCTCCCCTCTTCTTTGATCGATTTCCTCCAAGATGGCCCCAAGAAGCGCCCAGGAGGCACCAAGAGGCCCCAAGATGGCCCCAAGAGGCCCCCAGGAGGCCCCCAAGAGGATCCCAAACGGCCCAAAGAGGCCCCCCCGAGGCACCAAGACGCCGAAAAGCCCATCAGGACGACCCTCTACTCGCCTGGGCGTCGTTTCTGGACGGGCAGGAGGAGGGGCCCGAACGACTCACACCAGGACGAGGGGCCCGAACAACTCACACCACGAGAAGCCCGAACGACTCACACCAGGACGAAGAGCCCGAACGACTCACACCACGAAGAGCCCGAACGACTCACACCAGGAAGAAGGGCCCGAACGACTCACACCAGGACGAGAAACCCCAAACGACTCAAACCACGAGGAGCGCTTTCTCTCCCTCCTCCTCCGCCTCGTCCTTCTCCCGCTCCCACCACAAGGAGGATGTACAAGGAGGCGGGAGGAAGGAGGAACAGGGGAGATATGCGGGGGCAGGCGGAAACACGCCTGAAAGACACGACTGTCGGCATGCTTCGCTAGAGTTGCTGTTTTGAGATGGGCTGGTGGGGATACGCGAAGCGTGAAGAATTCGAAGTCTCCAACTGCGAAGCCAATGCAATACCCGAGGTGTGCCTGCAAGCGCCTTGCCAGATGCAACACTGGCCATCTTGCACTCCCATGGGCGTGGTCACAAATAAGCGCGGCGACGTAGCTCGAAGACGCGCGAGCCGTCCCGAGGAAGGACGATCCTGGACGACACACGACGCCCGCACATCCACCGGTGAAGTTCGCATTCCAGTAAGCTGGACGTAATGGCATACTCAGATTGCCGATGGACGACGCTGTTGACGGGGAGCGATTGGGGGGGGGACTGGATCAGGGGGGGGAAACATCGAGCTGGAATCGGCAACACAGCACCGGATCGGCGGCAGGCCCCCGATGGCGAATCCGCACCCTGCTGGGCGGAGAGGGGTGTCGGGCCCCCGTCGGAGATGCATGGGCGATTTTGGGGGTCGATGCATCCCACCTTCAGCCCATCCCCCCGACTAATGCTCGTCGTCTTGCTTTCGGGTCATAACTCCAGTCTCTGACAGCCGTTCGGGACGATCCTGCCACCTCTGGACGCCTCTCGGCGAGGCGCAGCTGCTGAAGCGCATGTCGAGACAGGAACACCTCCAAGAACCGACGAAAACGTCGGACCCCCTACCCTAAGGGTCGACTCAATGACATCCCGCCCTAAATGTATCCACCCCTGAAGTTGCCTCTGAAATGGACGGCCCTTTCGGAACCACTTGGCACTCCCAAATTGGATACGGAACAACTTGGTACTCCCAAATCCGACATCAACCGCTGTTGGGCAGGCAACGTTTTGTCTCAAATGGACACCGTCCGCGGCGACAACGACAGAGATTCATGTCCAATATGCAAAGGGGACTGCTGCCAGTCTGAATAAACCCACGGAGCTCTGGAACCCTCCCCCAGAACTGGGTTCTCATCCTGGGTCACTTCTGGAAGGTCCTGGGGGCCCAGTGAGGGACCGCACAAGCCAAAACCAACAGAAAACCTCCCGTCATGATTTTTCACGACGCGACGGGTCTGGGACAACGGCGTGGGCATCCCCCGGATCGTCCCGGCTGCCAGGCCTCTTCTTCTCCGCGGCCCCGCCGATGAACTTCTCCATGCTGCCCGAGACGCTGGAGCTGCTGCTTGAGCTGGAGCTGCTAGAGCTGCTCTTCTTGCGTTTCTTCTTCTTCTTCTTTTTCCTGCGGGGGAGGGCGGGAGGCGACTCATGCAAGGTTTTCGCAAGAACGAGCAAGGGCTACGCTGCCATCAGCTCAGCCAGACTAAGCCGGATTAGGCCCAGGAGTTAGCCCGAGTGAACAAAATGATAAGTCACTACGCAAAAATACACGGCATGATGCCGGATTGAGCAGATGTTCGACAACGGATATACTAGCTCCGATGCTGAATTTACCCCTCAGGGGTTGCAACCTAAGAGGGGGACGTAGAAGAAGAGCGCCGCGGCATAACATCAAATTGATGCCCAGTCTTATTCGATCGCCACGATCTCACCAACGGTTTCCACGATGCTGCCGCCCCACCTGCTTGGCGAAGTGGGCAGGCCGGCAGCGCGTCGCGGGATACAGCAACTTCGTGGCAGCTTCGGGAAGCCATCTTCGGGGCGGACCCTGGACATCTCACACCCAAGGGGGTTCGGAAGACATTCGAGTGGTCTTCGACCGCCTCCGAGAGGAAGCACTTGAGACGGGGCTTCGATGCCTAAGTCTGCCTAAGTCTTTCGCACGGATGCCGAGTTTCATATGCCGTCTCGGTAATCGATTACCCCAACGGTCACGAAGGCATCCGAAGATGCCTCGAATGTCCTGGACGGGTTCCGACGTCTCCGGGTTGTTTTCCAACTGGGTGATCCTAGGCATCGTGAGATCCTCCCCTGGAAAGATCCACCACACAGCACCCGGGCTGCCTTTGCTTCTAGATTGCGTCGACACTGCCTTGCCCTCCGCAGGGACTCGAGCCTATCGAACCATCTGACCTGCTTCCTCGAACTTCCGCGTAGGAACCTGCGGCAAACTAGCGAAGGAAAAACGCCCGCGGAGAAGCCCTGCCTCACCTGAGCTCCCAATGGGCTCCACCCCCGCCCCCGCCACTAAGGGAACAAGGCAGCTCCCCCACCAGCACCTGGCCCCCTCCCCAGACGGGGGGGGGGGGGGGCAGGTGGGGGAGGGATATTTGTTGCGCCTTGCGAGACGTTCTCACTATCTGGAGCCCAAGCCCGTTGGGCCAGTCCCACATGGGGGGGGGGCAGGTGGGGGCCTGAGGTGTTCCTTCTTCCCCCAACGACCCCCAGGTCAAAGAAGACGAAAACGAGGCAAGGGTAGCGCTATCGGTACCTTGTCCTCCTCTGACCTGCGATGCCCCCCCTTTCACGCCACGGCGCCTCCGACTCGTCCCCGAGTGTATGTGGCTAGGCCGCGGCCCCATCAGCTTAAGGGCGGCCCTGGGGCGGTCCAAGGCCCTGGTCGTCGGCAGCCGATCCCACTGACTATGAATCCCTGGCGAGCCCAGGGGGACAGAGGGGGCGGAGCTTCTCAGAAGGCTGAGAAGGCCTCTGGCCTTCTGAGAACCCTTCTCCGAAGCCACGGAGGGCTTCGGAGAAGGCCGGCCCCTTCTGCCTTCTCCCACGGGTGCGCCGCCGGATTCGGGCGAAACCATGACCAGGGCAAAATCGCACCGGGACAACTCGGGGATCTCTGAGATCCAGCGGTTCTGGACGGTGTCATCGGGTGCCGCGGCCGTTCCAGGGCGCTCCTGAACGATCGGAGATGGGTCCGGAGCGCTCTGGAGCAGTTTATCCCGGTTCTAGCCCCGCCCGAATTCTACCAACTTCTAGCGAGCTGCCCCTCACACGCGCCGAGGTGTGGCGGGATGGGATCCGAGAACGGGCCCTGAGACTTCCCCCCTCCCTGCGATGCGACCCCCCGTGGTGCCCCCGCACTGAAGGAGGCTCTCTGGCAGGAGCCCAGGGACGGTCCATGGCCCGGGACGCTCTTCTCCCACTCCAGGAAGGACACGAAGCGGCCAGATCTCTCCTTCACTGCTCAACCACGGCGACAGACTTGCATCTTGTTAACATCTCTCCCTCTCTCTCTCTCTCTCTCTCTCCGTGTCTCTCTCTCTCTATCTCTCTTTCTCTCTCTGTCTCTCTCTCTCTCGTTTTCTTTCTCTGTCTCTCCCTCCCTCTCCATTTCAAACACACACGTCTTCCCAGCGTGGCCTCCCACCAACGGTACGTTGAGGATACCCTGTTGAGAGGCCTACGTCGGACACCTTAGACGCAGCCAGAAGCCAGCACTGGTCTTCAGCCCAAGCTGGCAGCAACTTCGCTCCCCTGGGACGTCGCGCCACACCCTGGCGCGAACTCGGGCACACGCTAACACAGATTACGGACCCGAGGATCCGGCGCGTGGGGCGCCAGATCCACGGATCGGGAAACGCACGTGCCTCCCGAAACATGAAGCCAGTGCCGCCTCGCTTGGCGACGGAGCGAGACGATTCTGTATGGAAGTGGGAACGTAATCCATGTTTGCGTTTCCTCCTTCTCCTCCTCCTTCTCCCCCTCCTCCATGCCTTCCTCCTCCCGCTCCCTCCTCCCGCTCCTCCTCCGAATCCTCCTCCCTCTCCTCCGCGTCTCCTCCGTGGCTCACCTCCAGTTCCTCGATGAACGCACTCTCCTACAGCCAGACCAAGAACAAAAGAACATCCTTCAAGAGCATAAGACCCTCCGCCGCTAAAACGCCCCAAACCATAAGATCACCGAGGGCACCCTCCCCAGGATGCAGAAGAGCATACGACTAACACGAGGAACACTGGGGTACGCTCCCCGAGCCGACTTCAGTCTTATAGTTACTAGTTACTCCGGTCCGACCGTACACGCATGGCGCGATCCGAACACCGCTCCTCCCACCGCGATCCGAACACCGGCCCGGGAGCGGAGCAGCAACGGTCGAGCCGCAGGGCTCATGCGCCCCCGCTGGCGCCCCCGGGTCCTGCCAGAGCTGCTGCTGCTGCTGCTGCTCTTGCCGCGCTCCTGGCGGGGAACTCGCAGCAGTGGACAACCAGCGAGGAGGAGGAGTCAACAGGAGGGGATGAGTCGGAGGATGCTGAAGGCGACCCTGGCCCAAGGTGCCCCCAGCTTTTCGTCCAATTCTGGAGCCCCGGGGGCCCTCTGGGCTGCGTGAGGGCTGCCCTGGAGGCCGTGAGGGCCTCCTTGGAAACGCTGGGGGCACCTTGGACCAGGGGCACTTCCAGCAACTCCCGAATGAAGGGGAAGCGATAGGTGGAGACTGGCTCATGTGGGGGAGAACATCGAGCTGGACTCGGCGATGTATCGCCGTTAGATCGGCGATATGCCCCCGTTAGCGAATCCGCACGTTCCTTCGGGGATGGGCTCCCAGGCCCCTCTCAGCGATGAACGGGCGATTATGGGTCGATGCATACCCCCTGAGCCAACCCCCCCTCCTAGCGTTGCCCCTCAAACAGGTCATGGATCCAGGACAGATTCTCGCCGCGAATCGTTGCTGTTTGATCGTCCTGGAGCACGGGAAGGGCCGCGGAAGATCGCAAACGGCAAAGAGCGACAGGACACCGTTGCCCTGACCTGAGGACTTGTCTCTTCATACCTGGACCTCCAGTCCGCGCAGGCCTCCAGAGGCCTCCGATCCTGGCCAGGGGCCATACACACACACACACACCGATTCCTGGGCCTGGGATCAGCCTGGCCAAGATCGGTGCAGGTGAGGAGTTCGCGCCCTCCGATCCTTGCCCTCCCCCTTCCGCCTGCTCTTCTGAGATACACGCAACGGTTGCTCAAATTGGGCAAGAGTGACCGTTGATGCGCGGCCTGCCGATCGCTGCACGCGCTGCGACAGTGGCGGTCCATTAGCTTGGGTTTGCCGCCGCCCCCACCCCTCCGGAAAGCTGCGCGTGAAACGTCGCTCTGGCGAAAGGGCACCGACCTCTTCGGAAACGTTTGCTAGTGTTGAGTGCGCGAGCTCAAGCGCAATTGATGAAACTCTGCAGCAGTGCAGCTCTGCGCAGTGCGAGGCGTGGTCCAGTCCTTATAGACTGAGCGCCGCGAGGGGCACCGGAATGCTGGACAGCGCAGAGCGGGGCAGCGGGCCAGGCGCGTAAAAGCGATCTGAGCGGCTTGCGGGAGCGAAATTGGCTCCCCTCGGGGCGCGATCTGTGTGAGAGGGCCCCCGAAGAGGCGGGTCAACGCTCTGCGAATCCGCCCGCTGGGGCCGACAGTACAAGGACAAAGTCGGGCAGGGATGTATCGGGGATCTCACAGATTTGGTGGTTCTGGAGGATGTATCGGGCGCCGCGCCTTTCCGGGAATATGCTCTCGAATGATGTATCCTTGTCCTAGCCCTGCCCGAAGCCAGACCCCCGACGTCATAATTCTCTCGCAGCGTGGACTCCCTGAGGTCTGGACCTCACCCCCTCGGGCCGAGAAAAAACATTATGGGATTTGTGTTGCGGTTTTGAACATATGGGGGGCCTGGCCGGGCCCTGGGACCGTCAGGAAACGACTTGGGATGAAAAGTCGTCCCTGCTGCTCCACTTCCTCCTGCTACTCGACAATTACTCAATATGAATACTAGTCTCCCTCTTCCACTGATGACGGTTTGGAAGTATTAGCCACGTCCCGCGTACTGTTTTCTTACACACAGGATTCCCCGGAGTTGGGTTTTCGCATGCATTTTTTCCAAAATGCTGCTCTCGCTGAGGCGCCGGCCTCATTTTCGGGCCCCGCTCGTTCCGGATCGTGCTCCCGCTGCAGCGCTGGCCTCATTTCCGTGCTTCCGCTCGTTCCGAATCTTGCTGCCGCTGCAACACTGGCCTCATTCCCGTGCTTCCGCTCGTTCCGACTTGTGCTCCCGCTGCAGCGCTGGCGTCATTTCCCGTGCCATGCCACGGCATGCAATGCAATGCTACGTTGATACTACGCTTTGCGGTGCTCTTCTACGCCATGCCATGCCATGCCATGCCGTGCCTCTTCTACGCATTGCCCTTTTCAACATCCGACTGTGCGAGTAGAGAGGGGATCTACGCCATGGTAAGGGATGGGAGGGGTAGGATTTCAGGTATGACGCGAGCGCACCTAGCTTGTCTTCCTCCCCCTCCTCCTGTTCACTGTCAGCTGTCTTTGCCCGGCCCCTTCCCGCCTGCCCGCCAGCCCCGTCCACCCTGGCATCCAGCCTGTGCGTTCGTCGTCGTCTGCCGCAGGGCAGCAGAGACTGTTCCGAGCTGGTGTAGAGCTCTGCCTACAACATGGATTATGCCGTTTCTCCCCAGACTCCCAGACCCCCTCGCGGCGTGACAGAACCACGACGGACAACGTGCTTCTCGCTAGGTTTGGCCTCCTGCAGGGGCCCTCAACGGGTCCCGGGCCCGCAACGGGCCCCTGGACTGTCATAAAACGAACCATGCTGAAAAAACCGTTCCCGGGGAACCGGTCGAGGCCTCCTGGGGTCCACGTTGGGGGTTTCGGTTTGGCTCCCCAGACGCTGGGGGTCGGGGGTTGGCCTCCTGGGTACACGCTGCAAAAATCATAACGTTGGAGGTCTGACTCCCCATACCCCCGAGGTAATGTTTTTTTCACGACGTAGACCCGCAGAGCCCTGGGACCAGCATTCATCTCGACGATCCATCACGCGGTGGCTTGAGCGGAGCGCCAGCGCGACATACCGCGAGCACGGCACAGAGGTGTTGCCTGCGGCCGCACGCGGGCGGCTCGAGCGCGGACGCCGGCGCAGCCTGTGCCCGCTGGCTTGGGCCGCCGCACGCGGCAGGGGGGGGAGGGCAAGACGGCCAGCCTCAGAGGAAGACGGAGGGAAGGAGGCCGTTCAGGAGGCAAATCCCGGGAGGTCTTCGAGAGAACGATTATAAAAGTTGATGACACCAGAAGAGAACCCCAATCAGTGGATGGTTTGAAAAGTAGTGATATGGAGATCGAGATCGATTGTGAGGTCGATAGTGGAATCGATAGTGAGGACGATTGTAAGGTCGATCGTGAGACCGATGGTGAAGTCGATTCAATGAGATCGATAGTGAGAGCGATCGTGACATCGCTCGTGAGATCGATTGTGAGATCGATAATGAGATCGATTGTGAGATCGATGGAAGGGTGGGTAATGAGATCGATGGATACCGATCGATAAGAAAATCGACCAAGAATCCGGGAACCTGGGCACCCCGCCGACCACCGAAACCGGCCCAAAACCCGGAACCGGGAACCCGGGGACCGGGAACCTGGGAAATCGGCCGCCTACCAGAATCGGCCCGGAACTTTAGCCAAATCCTTCAATCTCCACTAGGACCCCTGCAGTGCAAGATCTGATTGAGGAATAAACCCGATGAGGGGGGCCATGAAGCCAAACTGGCCCACATTGAACATGGGATGAAGCTCGGAATTAAGAGGACCTATGTCAGATTAGGCCAGTTGTCGACTACGGATATTCCAGAGCCGATACTGAAATAACCTCCCAGGAATTGAATCCTGAGGTCATCACCGTGCTCTCCTCTCCGTCTGAAAGATCGCCTCCAGGCGCTGAGCACTCGAGGCGCATGCAGAGAAGAGTACCCAGGGGCATCCGGGGGGGCTTCCAGGGGCGCCCAAGGGAGAACGCCAGGCGACCCAATTGGGGCAGAAAGCGCTCTTGGGGCCGGGTACAGAATATCGCCAGTGCATCGCCGATGCACTGGCCATGTACCGGCAATGTCAGCGTGGAAAAAAGCCCTCTGTATGACGGCAGTGACCCTCCCAGGAGGAGGAGGAGGAGGAGGAGGAAAAAGAGGAGGAGGACGAGAAGGAGGAGGAGGAAGAGGAGGAGAAGGAGAGAAGCCTCCGACGTCGGGGTGGGAGTGCGGCGAGCGGGGAGTCGCGCTCGTTCGGCCACCACTCAAACCTCAAACGGCAGATCATCCACGCACGTGGGGGGGGAAGCGCCCCTGCGAGGCAGCTGCCTCGGGACCCTGGGGGGACCACCTGTCGGGCCTCCCGCAAGACCCTGAGGCCCGACACTCTAAACAAAAAACACTGCGAATACATACAAAAACATAATCCCCATGCATCCTGCTTCTCCTCCTCCTCCTCCTCCTTTTCCTCCTCCTCCTCCCCCTCCTCCTCCTCCTCCTCCTCCTCCTCCTCCGCTTGATATTACCATTATTGTTATAATTCGTGTTCCTGCTTCTTCACACTACTATTCTTCTTATGGTAAATCATAACGACAGTCTTCGTATTATCACTCGTCTTCCTACTAATATGGCTAGACGTCTTAGTATGTGTGTTCTTCTTTCTTCGCATTATGATCACTGTGCTTCGCATTATTGTTGTTCATAGTGTTGCTAATGATAATTTTCGTCGTGTTCGTCTGAGTATTCGATGTATGTTTCGTCGAATTCAGACGACTAAGGTTATTAAGACTATTACTATTATGAATAATTTAGTAGCAGTACAGTACAAGTGTTAGTATTGCTATAACTAGTATTCGTAATATTATGATTGTCAGTATCAATGCTCGTATGTTTATTAGTACGCTTATCCTTCTTCGACTACCTTATCCTTCTCGTGCTCCTTATTACTATTATTATCCTCCTCCTCCTCCTCCTCCTCTTCCTCCGCCTCCTCCTCCGCCTCCTCCTCCGCCTCCTCCTCTTCCTCCGCCGGCCTCTCCTCCTCCTCCTCCTCCTTCTCCTCCTCCTCCTCCTCCTCCTCCTCCTCCTCCTCCTCCTCCCTCGGTTATCGCGACCAGGACGCCCCGCATAGCCGCGATGAAGATCCTTCCTTCCTGCGTCATTGTTCGAGCCAGATGTATCCGTGAGGGTCCCGGGGCCCGATGCCGGGCGGGGACGCGAAGCGTGAGAAAACTACAGCGCCTGGATCTGCATGGGGCCTGTCGGGCCGCCGGCTGGAGAGAAGACAGGAAAATCCTCAGCCACCCGCCTTCGGATCGGGCACACTGCCAGACGCGCCCCGCCAGCGCGCTCTCCGGCCCTCCGGCTTCGCGCCGAGAACGGCCGCGC